CTCACCATAGAAGAACTCACACAGGAGAGAAACCTCATGTTTGTAAGGAATGTGGGAAAGCTTTCACAGAATCACATCACCTCACGCAACATGTCAGAGTTCACACCGGAGAGAAACCTTATCCCTGTAAGGAGTGTGGGAAGACATTTTCTCGATCAAGTAAGCTCTCTGTACATCTTAGGATTCACTCAGGAGAGAGACCTTATAAGTGTAAGGAATGTGGGAAAACCTTCACCCGATTATGTCACCTCAGTGAACATAGAAAAATTCACACAGGACAGAGACCTTATGAATGTCAGGAATGTGATAAAACATTCCGTAGATCAGGTCACCTCACTCGACATATTCTAGTTCACACAGGAGAGAAACCTTATCCCTGTAAGGAATGTGGGAAGGCATTTTCACAACGAAGTCAGCTTACTCTACATCTTAGAACTCACACAGGAGAGAGACCTTATGAATGTCAGAATTGTGGGAAGTCATTCTCACAACGACGTACGCTCACTGGACATCTTAGAACTCACACAGGAGAGTGAACTTATGAATGTCAGGATTGTGGGCAAGCATTTCCCCAATTGCATGCCCTCAATGAACACAGAAGACTTCACACAGGAGAGAAACCTTATGAATGTAAGGAATGTCGGAAGACATTTGCTCAGCGTACTGCTCTAAGTCACCATGCAGGAACTCACAGAGCCAACAAACCTTACTAATGGGCGCAATGTGGGAAAACTTTTTCGCACTCAAGTCAGCTCTGTACACATAAAAGAATCCACACGGTGTTCCCCAGTTAATGGAGTAACAATATGCAGTAAATTTGCTTAAAGATTGTCATAGGTGAATTGCTATCAGTCCACGGTCATGAATACCTATGAGTGATTGGAGAATCAGTGTAATTTGTAAGCTGTGTGTGAAATCCCAGAGGGTTCGAAATGAATAAAGGAGAAGAAAACAAAGATTTCAACCCAACATAATGAAACCTAAGAACGGATATGGAGGAGGCGTTGCGTGTTCTTTCAGCTTTGGGCGATCTTGAGGATAAGGCTGTTGATCCTCTTAGTGGAAGGACGACTTAATTGTAGTGAAACCTCCACAAGACTCTGTGTGTTGGGAGCTATTAGATGAACCGAGCTGAAGCCACTTTGTAATTCTCTTAAGCCATTTTGGAATTCTCTAAGAACATGTTTGGACATGTTGCCCCTTCCCTGGGAAGGATAGGTTTCATTTTACTGGAAACGTCCTGCCAAGTTTCTGTTGACCAAATAACTCTCAGCTTACTGGAAATCACAGCATGTTTTTTCTCCCTGATTGTATACTTCTCCTTTTCACTCCCCCTCATTGTGCTTCTGTCTATAAGTTGTGAGTGCTTGCAATAAAATCGAGACTTGATTGGAATCTCAACTTGTCTTCATGCCTCTTTGTTTCCTGTCCTTTCAATTCTCATTCTCCCCTCCTAGGGTCATCGTCAAATTTCCCTGCAAGAATTTGGTATGTCCTTGGGAATTGCCTTAATGCCACAAGGTGAACTCCAGCTCAGGAAGCAACACTCCCTGTGTGCGGGGTCCCTTGCTGTCTCCTATCTGCAAAGAACAAACAGCTTATTTTCGAGGTTCTAACACAAGGAAAATCCTAACATATATATCCGTGGTTCCTTCAATTCCTAAAGAAAGGTTTTCATATCATGTTTAGGATAAACAGGTTACCTTCCCATGATTATTCAGGATTTCAGTTTGCAGTTATCAAATTAGGGCATTTTGTGGTATTAAACACGTAAAATAATTTAGTATATCCAAACTACTGAACAAAATATTTTCTTAGGAATAAAAGTTTTCACATGGTATAGAGTTCAAAAGAATAAGTAAAATGACTGGTAGTAAGTTTTGTATATTTTTTTAAGAGGTAAAAAAATGAAAGTAGTTTTGCTGAAAATAAAATGTCTGGTTGTTCCTAAATATGAAAGTTAGGAAAGGCTAAATTAAAGGTGTGTAGTAAGTTGTAAAAGGCTTAAAGAAAAAGTGAATTTTAGTGTATGTCTTTGTGATGTCTGTGTGAAGTGTGTGTGCTGTGTGA